ACACACACACACACACACACACACACACACACACACACACACACACACAGAAGAAGAGCTAAAGTGGAGCAGCCGTCAGGCCCCATATAGTACAGTTACTCTCTGGAGGATATTTCATATTAACAAACCCCTGACAGAACTCTCCTCTCCGTACTGTATGTGCAGTAATTGGGAGAGTTATAAAGAAATATCAGCTAAATAGAAGAGAATGACTAAATATTGAGTCGGACAACCTCAATAAGGCTGAAGGGTCAACAAGCCTCAACAAGGGATGTCACGATACCTCTTTCAAATACAAACCCAGCGAGGAAATGGTGAAAAACATTCAACAAGTAATATTCTAATCAACACCGTGCTTAAAAGCAGTGTTCTACCTTCCACTATGCCAACACTTGTACTGCATATCAGGTACCTGAACTACTAAACTAGAGTGCTGGTACAAGGATGCTCAAGGATCCAGACCCCCATGCCTCCAGGCAACTGTCACACCGTTGTTCTGCTTGCTCCCAACCTCCCACTCCTCCCACAGCAGTACAGTCATGACAGGCTGACGTACCCGCTCCTTACTCTATCATATCACAGTCGGCCTCATCTTCACATGTACACTCCTCTTGCATGGCAATTGTACAGTGAGGAGTTATCAGACAAAGGTGTTCAATCATTACAAATGAATGGAGGCGAGTAGTTCGACCACTGTTAGTTTCTCTAAACTGTGGGTGCACCAACCGCCAACTACTGCAGGTAATACACTGCCTGTGGAGAAGTACCTTCAATCAACCCCACTTCAAAACATCCAAACGTCTCCTTTAAAACGGTGCAATGATGATATGATTTGTGTCCTAAAATCTTTAACAGTGAATTGTCACAATAGCTGTATCTTAATAAAGATAAATGTAACAATAACTATGGTAATTGAACAGTCCATGACATATCCTTCCCCATGTTGGCTCACTTCTGATGACCAGTTAAAGATCGAGTTGTTCTCAGTTTAATTATTGGGGAGATTAAAAAAAATGGATCTGCTTGAAAACTGCAATATACTGTAACTCCTTTCAGGGCCAGTAAGGGATTCATAATGTTGGTTAATTAAATACATTTGGTAAATCTGCTGTATTGCTGTGATCTACATCAGGGTGCCACCCAGACCAATGGTAGTGAGTCCATTCAGGGATTTGTTCCACACTCTCTTGTAATATGCAAACGAGGGGGGGGGTTGGTGGATGCCGCATTGTTGAGTCAGCATGTGTCACCTAGTAGCTGACACACATACCAGAAGAGAGACTGTGCACAGCACATACACACACAGAGGCACGCTGTCTTACAGTGTATTTCAGGGTGGCAGTGAGGGGTTAACAATCACCAGCAGTCTGCATGTTCTACTGCTTCACCTGTTACAGACGCACTAAAGAGTTTGTGAATGACTCATCGCTGTGAAGCTGTGGCTCTGCTAGCTGCAGTTTAAACCGAAGCACTGCTCTGTTAGAAGGGTTCCAGCATCCCCCTGCTGTTGTTTGGGTTTCTGGTGGTTTCTTTAGATGTGAAAATTCACTGAATACAGTGAAGTGTTGGCACCAATAAACCGTGGTAAGTGCATCTGGAGAGAGGAGAAAACCGTGAGATCAGTGCCTCATGAAAAGTAGTGCGGTGGCTCAGTAAGCCCTGAATAAATAAACTGCATCATATGCTCTGTTACATTGATACTCAGAGCAGCAGAGTGTTGACCATGACATGACATTCGTGGTATTGATGGTAATCTCACTCCCCCCAAGCTTTTGTTTTTTAACCCAGCTTTCATCATTAGTGACCTGCCTTCATTTGTTCCGTCCTGCGACTATTACACGAGACTAAGTCATCATTTGAATACTGGCAGGTACAAATACAAAAATACAAATCGTTTCACCGCTCGCAAGGGACATTAGCATGGCCCTAGTAGTGGACACTAACCACAGCATGGTGACAACTACAACTCCACGCTCTCTAGGATCAGAGCTCCTCTCTGTAGGAGAAACATGCACGCACGCACGCACGCACGCACGCACGCACGCACGCACGCACGCA